TACATGTTAGCGTCAAGCCGTGTGCAAAGGTGGCACACGTGTCAGGGTCATCGTATCCCGGATTTTGACCCGGTTCTTAGGGGTCTTGGGATGACGATAATATAAACTCATGTCCGTCATCGAGCTAAGGATCGGTGGTAACCGATAGCTAAGGACCGCGACGAATTCTAAGAGTCGCGAATGTTATGGTTAGAGGTCGATGCCTTCTTCTTTGAGGATCACCGAAGGTGTCGTGTCTCGTGGCCGATGACCCGACGTCATGGTGCTGCGTGGCACGTGCACAGAGATTAGGGTATTCTAGTAGGATCTGGTCACAGAGTGGGGAGGATATTGCATCCTTCGTTAAGCGGACCTTGAGGGACAGCAAGGCACTTAACCCAGAACTTTCGAAGAATACGGATCGCTAATTATCATAAAGACTTTTTATCTAACAAATAATAATAATAGAATTTGATAAATTAAACAATATGTGATTGATAATTGATAGAGAATCGATGGTATACGTCACTATCGAGTGGTATGCGATGTGAAGTTCGACGCGGGTGTTCAGTTGTTTTTCGTATTCGGCGATGCCTTCAGACTGTCGTGATGGTCCATGCAACGTGTTCGCAACGTGTGCGAATCACGCGTTTATAATATGTATCAAGTTCTTTATTAATTACGAATATATATGTTTAGTTTAGTGTTACCGAGTCAATTATTACCGCAATAACCCAACAGGTTATGGGCCCAGGGCACGAGTGTATTAATAGTGCAATAAAATAAGTGAAAAAACAAAAAGTGAAAATGGCTGCAGGTAACGCGTTCGGAAACATAGAAAAGCTGAACGAAAATAATTACGAGCCATGGAAGTTACAGATGAAAAGTATTCTGGTATATAACGATCTGTGGCAATACGTGGATGGTAGCCTGAAGAAACGAAAAGGGGATGCAAGTGAGTGGATTAGAAAAGACTCGAAAGCATTGGCGCTTATAAATTTAAGTATAACGCACGGCCAGCTAAACCACGTGAAAAAGGCTCAAACTTCGAGCGAGGCATGGCGTAGCTTAGTGAACATATTTGAATCGCGAGGACCAGTGCGAAAAGCGGCACTGTACAAACAATTATTGCGTATGGAAAAAAGGAAAAACGTGTCCATGACGCAATACATAACGGATTTTACTAACACAGCCGAACAGCTCGAGGAAGCGGGCATAAAGCTTCCGGACGAATTACTATCAATAATGCTGCTCTCTTCTTTACCGGCCGATTACGAACATTTTTGTGTGGCGATCGAGTCGCGGGATAACATACCGACACTGCAAGATCTAAAAATCAAATTACGAGAAGAAGAAGCAAGGCAGTGCGATCGCGACGAAAAGACAAATGAAAGTGCGGGCAAAAGTGACGCGTTGTTGTCGCGAGTGAATATGCGTGGGAAAAATAATAAAGTAAACTCGAAAAGTTTAAATACGGACCGCACAAAACAAAACTTTCAGAAATTTAGTGGAAAATGCTACAATTGCGGTAAATTAGGACATAAGAGCACGGATTGTAGATATAAGAAGTGTAATGAATCGAATAATATAAGTGACGCAATGATAACAATTGCGTGTAGTGCAGAACCTATTAAAAAATCTAAAGTTTGGTGTATGGACAGTGGCGCAACAAAGCACATGTGCAATAACAGTGCACAATTTGAAACATTTAATAGCGATGAACGCTCGAAAGTATATACAGCCGCGGAACATAGTGTAGACTCAACAGGCGTAGGTGACGTTAATTTAAATATAAAAACAAATAATCGTGCGACAAATATAGTTAAGTTAAAGGACACTATGTATGTGCCAAGTTTGCGAAATAATTTATTATCCGTAGCGTGCGTTACTAACAATGGTTATGCGGTAAAGTTTGAAAAAGATCGTGCGGTAGTAACGCGTAAAGACGGATCAGTGGCCCTTACGGCAACAAAGCGTAATAATCTTTATATTGTAAATGAAGTAGAAAATAGTGCTATGTTCGCGAATAATAGTAATAATATAAGCTTAAGTAAGTGGCATCAGAGATTCGGACACCTCAATGTCGGTGATTTAAAAGGAATGAAAGAGAAAGACATTGTGAGCGGAATGGATCTCGAATCGAGTGTGAAGGAATTAAACTGTAGTGTGTGCGCGAAATGCAAAATACACGTGCAACCGTTTAAAAAATCAAATAATCGAGCGAAAGAAATATTAGGCTTAGTACATTCGGACATATGCGGTCCGATGAGTGTTGAATTAATCGGCGGCGCTAGATACTTCGCGACGTTCATAGACGATTGTACGAGATACATGGAAGTCGTCATGCTCCGAAACCGATCAGATATACTAAATGCGTTTAAGAATTACAAAAGTAAGGTCGAAAATCAAACGGGTCATAAAATAAAAATATTGCGTACAGATAATGGGCGTGAATATGTATCGAAAGAATTTAATAGTTTTCTTGAAAAGGAGGGGATTTCGCGTCAGCTGAGCGTAGAATACACGCCGCAGCAAAACGGAGTTGCGGAGCGCGCGAACCGAACCCTCGTTGAGATGGCCCGATGCATGAGGGTACATATCTTCTCCTTTTAACAACGGATGGTTTCCTTTGAATATTGTCAAGTCGCTCTCGTGTAAATGGTTTCAAGATTGCAAGGTCTTGCAAGCGTCTAACTCAGCTCAGTGCTACATATGAAAGGCCAGCCACTGTTTCTTTTGTACCTAGATGTACAACAGCTTTATCAAGAGTTAACCCTTGTGCTTTGTGGATGGTCATTGCATATGCAAGAACCAAAGGGAATTGCTTTCGTGTACAATCATTGTGTCCATCACTCCAAGAAGCTTCGATTGGCAAAATAGGAAAACTTCCGTCATCATAATTAGAGCCGAGGTAACTATCAAACTTAACCATGATGACTCTTGGCAAGGAAGGAGCACCTCTACCTTCATCATAAATGATGTCCGTTACATGACCTAATGATCCATTGACCAGACCACCTGCAACCCAAAGATTTTTCCTCAACATCACTTTGGCATTGATTGATAAGCAAAGTGAAGCAGAGAGTACAGATGCTTTCTCAAGAAGAGCAACCGCAGCCAAAGCATTGTTATGCTCAGCATCAAATTTGACTACGGGATAACCAGTAGCTGCTAAATGTTTCTGGTTATGGAGAAAAACATCAGCATTGGTAGGAAAAAGGTGGGTTGTGGCTCTAAAAATATTTCTTTCATCTGGCTGCAGGCGCGACATCAATCGAGTGGTGAGTAAATTATAATTTTCTTCATTCATCTCTCCTAATGCAAGTGCATCTAGCAAATCTCTAAAAGCTAGTTGTTGTGGCGAGTTTTGTCTCAGAGATGTAGTCATTTTACAAAATCTCTGGATCGTTTGAAACGCAATTTTACCAAGTGAATGTTCTTGTCTTGGTGTATTGTATTTGAAAATCGGAGCATCTTTAACCGGAGGAAGTTGCTGTAAATCACCAAAAAAGTATACTCGTAAGCCACCAAAAGGGCTATCAACTAATGGATATGCTTCTCTACAGCGTTGCTCAATTTTTCTCCAAGCGTCGAGTCCGATCATAGAGTACTCGTCGAAAATCAAGAATTTTACCGGTTCCATTTGCAATTGGAATTGCCGTTGCGCATTACCACTCAAAGGTTGAAACCTAGCAAAAATAGGTATCTTCAAGAAGGAATGGATTGTAGAGCCGCTGATGTTTGTTGCAGCAACTCCAGTAGGAGCCAATACTTTCACAGCGTCATCTCCTAATCTGGATCTTATAGTGTGCACCATTCTATTTATTAAAAAACTTTTACCAGTCCCTGCTTTTCCTTGAATGAGTGTTCTACTTATCTGAGGCTCAACTTCATCAACGATTTCACTTATTTGAGCACAACAAAGCTGATAGATTTCTAGCTGTTCATTTGATGGATTGAATTGAGGTAGTTGCTGCTCATCATTGTTCAGTGGTTGTTCTCTGAAATTCGTGAGAAAATTTCGTATTCTCGGCAGACTATAATCAAACTCTCTTTCTCTAGCCCAGTTGATCTCAAAATCAATGATTCTTTCACCAAGTGGCCTTTCTACGTTCCAATCTTGTCTAATTCGAGCTAAAGCCATTTCTAAATTCAATTCGTTCTCGTTTCTTGGCTCAATCGCTTCAAACTCGTCATCATTTTCATTGAGAGGCAGTTCTTCATCCAGAATCATATTATAAAACACATAAGCTTCTGCCCAAGTTTCAAAAGGTGCCTCATTTGGTCTTTGTAGAAGAGTGTCTGGAGCATGCCACCAAGGGATATGTAGTGTAAGTTGTTGTTTATAAAAAGATTCTTGCATTTCTGCATCAACTGAATTCTTAAGTCTTGGGAAAACTCTGACTATTGTGCTTTTTTGCCGACGCTTGACTTCATTTCTTTCAATTTTAAAGTTTTTATAGAAATCAAACAAAGTAACATTTAAAGATCGAGCTCTGGTCCTGTAGCGAGTTATCATATTATTTAAATGCAAGTTGGCTGCATCAATTGGTACCCATTGGTTTTCATTCAAGTTCAATACAACGAAGGTACGAGTGCGCTCAAAAATTGGCCATCCCATTAAGACATGGCAAACTTCTTGTGCAGAGTAATCACGACCAGTTAATGACGCTTGCAATAATTTACGGATGATTACAGTTCCATTGTCATTTGCCTGATATAAATCAGCAATTCTTGCAATAAGCTCCGAAAAATTAGTTGAAGCAACTTCTCCTTTAGAAACATATTTAGCAATGTAATTCAAAATTGCTTCAATGCTCGTCACAATTGCTATGTCAACGTTGGCACGCCAAGTTTGAGTGATAAGCTTGTTGTAGCGGTTGAGTAATGGATCATTACGCTTTGGAAGAAAAACAATGGCACCGTTTTCTTCAACAAAAGTACTTTCTTCACACAAAGGTTGGGGAAATTTGAAGCGACAAGCATACAGATTTGAGTTTCTAACTTTTCGAATGCAATGCTGGCCACATCTTGTATGTCTCTGCACTGTGTTCAATATGAGAGCCAAATCCTCTTCAAGATTTTCAATTTCAGAAAAAATCTTTCTGCAAGGATGATCCCCATTGGCTGGTCTTACAGAGGAATCGGGATTCCAAGCTTTAGTCAAGCCATCACAAAAGGCTAATGCAACATTCTTTTCGGCCTCTGTCATAGTCGCAATAGATGTAAGGCTAGGAGCATTATCAAGCCAAAGTAACCCATGCACATGAGGACTACCCCTGAATTGCCATTCGTATCTCATCCAAAAGTCGTTCACTCTGAAAACTGGTTTCAAAAATGTTTTTCTAAAAATCTCCACTCGTCTTTTGAAAAACTCAGCAGTGATCATTGGGTTCTCGTGTATTAACCGTCTTCTAGCATTATCATCTATATTATTGACATCAAGATTAGGTGAAATCAGTTGGAAAAGCTTGTTCCAATGATAATCAGCTGCGGATAATGTGAAAAAGACTGTAGGACTTCCTAGCTGAGTAACCATATCTAAAAGTTCACCGCATCGTGCTTTCCAATATGGTGTGGTTGATCTTAGCTGTGATGCATAAACCATGAGGGATGACTGTAATCGTGGTTCTTCTTCAATTCTTTGTAGGACCTCATCAACTGTTGCATTTTGAAAGTGATTTCGAGCAATATAAACGTTTGCATGAGCAAGTGACTGCTAGCGAAGTAAAGAATTCATTGCAAAAAATCTAAATCTATCGTGTTTTGCAAATCTACCATCGTTATACTCCATGAGATATTTGAAGTAATCATTTGGCTTTATTCGTCTATTTCGCTCTTGATTCAAATCAGCTCTACCGAAAGGAAATAAAGTTGGAAAAGCTTGTGCTATATACCCTTCAGTGTCAAATTCATTGATTGGCTGATTTTCTTGCATTGGCCATCTTAAAACTTCATCTTCGTTCAATCTACGCCTTATAGCTTCTTCTTGGTCAATATTAGGTAAATGTGGATAAAAAGACTCATTCAAATGGTCATCATATTCATCACCGCTTTGTGGCTCAGCATTGACAACATTCTCAAGTAAGTGTTCAAGATTAGGTTCATTTTCAAGTTGGCTTAATCTTCTTTCATTTATATTGATGTCATGGTAATAACGATGATTTGTCTTTAGCCAAATTAAGGTTCTTCTCAATCGGAAAGCACTAACTAAGAAGTCCTGTGACTTGTCCTTCTCTTACTCCAATGAAAATAGTTCGGAGTTCATTATCAGTTGGTAACAAAGTATCACAAAGACCAGTAATATCTTGACGAAAGTTTATTACATTGTCTTTATAACCCGTTTGACCACCTCTTATCTTGAAGTAACAGATAACAGGATGGATGCGAGCGATTAAAAGCTCTTCAACATTTGTTAAACATGCAAGCTCAAATGGCACTGAACCTGGATCCATATTATTATTTACAAACAAAGATGAATTTGCGCTGGAACAAACTTTGCATCTAGTATGAAGTTGCATTGGATTCAAAATTTTTCTTGGACACGAATTACAAGTTGCAAAGCTGATTCTGTTCACTTCACTTCTGTTCAAACCTCCTTGCACAGTTGCGATTGGATACACTTTCAAAGTGATCCGGCTCATTGTTTCGACGATTATTTCTCTTTCTCTCACGAATTGTCCTCGGAGATCTTCGACTAACAGTTGGCATTTTGTATTAGCAAATACGTGTTGATTGAAAGCAAAGAGAAGTGAAGTTCAAGTTGAAAAAATATTTATTTTTTCGGTTTCAAAAAGTACTTATCAAATTTTTCATTATACATTTCTTCCCTTTGCACGCCTTTCAAATATTCTTTCTCGTGCTTTGCAAACAAAACTTGCTACTGCTCAACAGTATGAGAACCGTGCACAATTCTATTGCGAGCAACACTTGCAGCAGCAAAGTTCCTTGAAGCCCTTTCTTTGATTTTATTAGTGTCTCGATGCAAATAGTGAAGCCTGGATTCAGTCAATTCAACGTTGGCATGTGAATCTCGCGTCTTCCTTCGCAGTCTTGCCTTGGCGGCTTTGGATAAATTTGGCAAAAATTTGAGGCGAGGATCTACCAACTTAAAAGTTTGATTTGGAAAAAGATCAAGAGGAGTCAAGACTGGTGAAGATAGAAATGTCAGCTGATCTGTTGAAGATGCAGTTGATCTTTTTTTCTCTACCAAGCCCTCAATCAAAACTAATTTCCAGTCGCCAGATGTAGCTTGTGAGCCAGCAGTCATTATTCAGAAGGACAGGAAGCTGATAGTTCAAAGATAATAAATTTAAAGATACGAAAAGGCGATTCAAGTTATTAATGTTTTTATCAGTTATAAGCGCAGATGTATAAATGATGAGGATGATACCTTCAGTTAATAATGGTTTAAAGTTGGAATTGGGATATTTATCCAAGGATTAAGATAAGTTAAGTTAAGATAAGTTTGCTGATATTCTGGAGATAAATAGATAGTTTTGTAAAGATATGATTTGATTAAAACGTTTGACATAAAGACATGGTTGATCAAAATGTTCGATAGCTTAAGTGAATAACATACAAAAGACCAATTAAAGTTGAGCAAAGTTCCAGTTTCAAAGATTCTAATTTTGAGGATTTCAGAGATCGATCAATGATTATTCCAATGTTAATCTGTAAAGAGTAAAGAAATTCGCTTTTGTATTGAATAAAGTTTCGATGTATGATTTATAGAATAAATTCATGATAAATTCCAACTTACTGAATAAAAATTATTTCTTTTGTTTATTATCAGCAAAATCAAAGAAAGTGTTTCTTGACCACGGTATCCAACGAATTGTCTCAAGTTGGCCGAGTGGTCAGTGGATCGCTAGTTCTCTCCTAACAAGGAGACGGAGCACAGGCGGGTTTAGGACAAAACTCACGAAAAGTTGATGAAATAAAGAATACTCATTTGACACGTTTACACAGTTATTTAATAAATGACACTCACGACAGACACTGGACGACGATAACGATAATAATAAATTCGGATAACAAAAGTTGGTTGAAAAAGCGGGAGGAAACACGGCTAACATTGTGACTCTGTAAAGTTCACACGGATAATAATATTTTAAAGTTAAACGGTAATCAAAATTGAACCTTTATCCGGTCGATGGCGTGGCGGTAGGACTAATCCCGTGCGGGAGGGATTAACGCGTGTACGCAGCGATGTAACAAGGCTTAGACGTGCCTAGGCTTATTATTCTTATTTCGGAACAGAAAGAAAGGAGGGAAAACTGAAGAAAATGAATTGAATGTTCAATGTTTAACATGAATCAAGACAAAACAATGTATAATTTTCGATTCAAAAAAGTTTATTTATATTCGGTTCTTGCGATACAAAAATTACAGTTCTCAAGTCAAATTTTACGAATGATATAATGAAGTACAAAAATTTGGCTTAATTTTGGCCGATTAATCATCGTTGATTCCGATGATATCAAAAGTGTTTGAGTAGGCCTAACCAAGTCTTGGGAAAGCACTTGAGAGCCGAAATCCTAACCCCTATCACACTCAATCGCCAAGATTGCCATACTCAGATGGGCACTCTCAAGCACCAAGCCCAATGTCAGGCTCGAACCCTCGCAAGCGGACTTACGAGCACAATAGACAGTGTCCGGACCACTGGACTACCATGTACTCTGTGAAAACAATTTTATTAATTTCATAGTTAATCTACATAAATTGCACTGTGAAATAAAAATTTTAATTTGCAGTTGACTTAACTGCAACAAAATCATTGACCAACTGCATTACCAAGAACTGGTTTCGAACTTGGATCATTCAAATTTAACTGATTTATGGCTTACACCATTAAGCCAACAGTTAATTTATTTTATTGTAGCATTAAAATGCTTAAATCTCATGAAATGTACTTAAGAATAAAAATTTTATTCTAAAATACCTTCTGTTTGATCAAAAGTTATAAATCAAATCTTTGCCACCAGCTGTTCCCGAACTCGGGTCACTCATGCTCATGTGAGCTATGTACAATACCATTTTACGCGAGAGTTAGTTGAAAGAAAAAAAATTGAAATTGAGTATTTAGAAACGAATTCGATGATAGCCGATATATTAACTAAATCATTAACTAAAGATAAGCATGATAGATGTGTAAGAATGTTAGATATGAATTAACCGTTGAATTTAATTATAGCTGTGTTTTTATTCTGCGTAAAATAGGGATTAGACCGTATACATCGATAGGAGGGGTGATAGAGAATCGATGGTATACGTCACTATCGAGTGGTGTGCGATGTGAAGTTCGACGCGGGTGTTCAGTTGTTTTTCGTATTCGGCGATGCCTTCAGGCTGTCGTGATGGTCCATGCAACGAGTTCGCAACGTGTGCGAATCACGCGTTTATAATATGTATCAAGTTCTTTATTAATTACGAATGTATATGTTTAGTTTAGTGTTACCGAGTCAATTATTACCGCAATAACCCAACAATAATCTTGAATTTAGGATATAAAACTCGCTGGTTAATACTTTATATTGGACCGTATCTAATTCTGATCTCTGATAAAGTTAACTTCGCTTCTATACGTATTCGATTCTCGTGTTCGAAGCTATCGCAATGACAAAATTTATCTCAATTTGTACGATTGATTTGTATAAATGTTCTTTAACGATATTAATTAATATTAGCGCTTTATAATCTACCGCTGCGAGAAATTCGACCTAAGTGAGATTCTCTAAACGCACCTAAATACGCTTTCGCAAAATTAGACAGATTTATTTTACTATCTAACGCGGTGTAATCGATTACGGAAATGACGTTAAGTGAGAACAGTATTCTTTTATTAATTCAAATTCTTAGCAATGAGACTTCTAACTAGCTTGACTGCGAAAACTGTTCTGATTTTAGACGGGTTTCGCTCGCCCTTTTATACTCGCAGGTTCGCCGAATTCCTGGAATTTCTGTGACGTCAGAATATCTAAATTTTCATATAAATTCGTTATTATACATTAATTATAA